CCTCCTCCTCCTCCTCCCCCCTCTTCCTTCCTGCAAACCACACTCTCTTCTAACACCGACAATGTTACCTTGTTTGCTGATGAAATATCTGCAGGAAGGCAACTGAACTCAGAGAACTTCAAGCTTAGCTTCAAGCTTAGGAAGAAGGAAAAGTCCGTTTTTGTGAAACATGGCTTGTTGTGTGTGGTGTGTCTGGAGTGTGGCGTGGTGTGTGTGTGTGTCTGGAGCCCTTGGTGCTCTCCGAGTCTGGTTGTTTTCTTGCAGACGTTTCATTACCCAGCTAGGGAAACATCATCAACGTTAACAGCGTGTTGCGTGCAGGCATTGTCATCCGTGCCTTCGGAACTCTGGATTTCGGTGCCGGCAATTTGTGGCTTAAGCCAAATGTGACTTAGCCTACTTACTTACCCAGTCTTTGTTCTTTCGTTCCTGAACCTTAGACGGCTTTGTCGACGTGGGGGAGATTCTTCGTCTGCCCCAATTTAAGGCCTGGTCTCAGGAGGACGTGGAGAGGGTGGTGGAGTCGAATGAAAAACAGCGATTCACTCTGTGCCGACATCCGTCCGGCGGACACCTCCAGATCCGTGCCAATCAAGGGCACTCGCTACAGGTAAGGACTTCCGAGATCATTCCGGTGCAGAAGCGTGGCTGTTGCGTAGAACTTTTATTTTGGGAGCAGAAAATAGATATCTGTAACCGATGTCCTCAGGAAAAAATGAATAATGGAGCATTTGCTACAGAAATCCGGGTTGGAGCAGATTTTAGCATTCAGAGATCCAGAGCAAAACTGCCTGCAAAATTGTGGCTCTCTAAAGGTTCCCTTCACACATCTATGCCAGTCGTTCCCGACTCTAGGGGGCAGTGTTCTTCTCCGTTTCAAAGCCGAAGAGCCAGCGCTGTCCGAAGATGCCTCCGTGGTCATGTGGCCGGCATGACTCAACGCCGAAGTCGCACGTATCTCTGTAAACGTGCACAGCACTGTAAAGCGGTATATAAGTCTAAGGGCTGCGCGCTATTGACGGTAAGTTCTCGCCCTTCCAGGTTCCCGAGCTGGAATTAACCGCGCTGCAGACTCTAAAGGATTTCCCAGAGACCGTGGCTCACGGCACACTTCTGCGCCACTGGCCAGCCATTCGCCAGCATGGCCTGTCACGGATGGGAAGAACGCACATCCATTTAGCCCCCGGATTGCCAGGGGAGGGGGCCGTCCTAAGTGGTGAGAGGAGGAGAGGGGGGTCGGTTGTCTTGTGTTCGGTGGCATCCTTGCCTACTGGGGGTTTCAAACAGCCTCTCATTCGCACTCGGTTTTAATCGCGGTTAGCGTCCTTCGGGACAGAGACCACCCTGGATTTTTTGATTCATTGTAAAGATGCTCGGTACAAGCGAAAGACTGCGCAGTGGTTAGAATGCAGTATTGCAGGCTAACTCTGCCCATAGCCAGGAGTTTGATCTGATGGGCTCAAGGTTGACTCAGCCTTCTGTCCTTCCAAGGTCGGTAAAATGAGGACCCAGATTGTTGGGAGCAATCTTAGTGAGTGCTGTAAAAGCACTGTAAAGCGGTATATAACTGCTGGGCCACAACATAACTCTAAGTGCTATGGCTATCTTCCTTCCTTCCTTCCTTCCTTCCTTCCTTCCTTCCTTCCTTCCTTCCTTCCTTCCTTTATCCTCCAACCCTTCCTGTATCCTCCATCCCTGTAGAGGGAACAGGGAACGACCTTGACAGACAAAAGGAAGTGAGGGCACTTCAGTGGTTATGTCTTTGCAGACTTTTCATGGCCAAACTAGGCAACATCATCAGTACTAGAATGAGCAAACTCCTTTCCCTTCTAGCCCTGAGGACGTTACCTAGTTGGGTCATGAAACATCTGCAGGAAAAGAGCACCAAGGACCCCACATTTCAACCCTGAGCTACAAATATTCTCCTTTATCGGTACAAGAAGAAGCACGCTCCCAATGGCATTGGTCAGATAAACGGGGATTGAGCCCTGGCCAAGGAAATAATATGAGAAAGGGGGAGGGAGAAACTCTTTCAAACTTGCAAGGTCCTATTACTCTACCTGTTACAGTAAAAGTAACCCAGATTTAAGTGGCATGGGTTCATTCATCTGGTCTACCTCGTAGGGCTGACACTGAACTAGGGCATAGCGCGATGTGTGAACCCCCACCAAAATTATTGAATAATCAACCTGGTATGTACAATCTTAATTTAATGCCTTCAAGTATATTTCCCTTTTCTTTCCAGGAATGAGAGACAGTTCTGAAGTGGCCATAATCATTGATATTCCCAAGGCCCTAGCAGGTGAGTGAAGATCACCTGTTCTGAACTAGGCTTCCCCAGCGGCACGAAGCTGAGTCCTCATCCCGATAAACCCCTTTTATTAATATGGTGTGAATTCTGCTCCTTCACATCCGGCAAAGTCTTTCGAGGGAGGATTTACAGTCACAGACCTCATCTGGCTTGGAGAGCTGCCAGGCTGATCTCTGCAGAATTTGGCAAGGAATCTCGGAGAGTCACGAACCAATTAAGCGAACTAATTGTCTCCTGCAAACTCCACTCCCCTGTCGCTCCTCTTTTATTTCCTCTGGGAGGGTCCATTCACCATCCACCTGTGGCTTTACTCCCAAGTCGACCCCTGTTCTTTAGCCGTTCCCTTCGTCTGGCAGCTCTGTGCATGCGCACACTGGGAACAGGCTCTTTCCTTCCTTTCTCCTTCTTCTTCTCTCATCTCCTTTCTCTCACCCCTTCCTTTCTTCCTCCCTCCCTCCTTCCTTTCTCCCTCCCTCCCTTCTTCCTTCCTTCCTAGAAGTATTCTTTCCTGAGACTGAAGATGGAATTTAAAGATGGGTGGGAACCAGTCCGAAATCTTGGGAGAGGAGTCTCAACTTGTCTGCCCGTCTTTTAGAGACAAGGGGAAGAAAACGAGGCGTGTTCTTTGACTCAGAGAATTTCTCCTTCCCCCTAGATGGAATCGCTTTCTTCCGCTCGGCTAACGGAGTCATCCTGACCCCAGGCAACGCGGACGGGCTGTTACTCCCCTGCTACTTCAGCAGAGCACTGCAGCTTCGACCCCGACGTAAGTCTGAAGCTTCTTCCTGGTCTTGGGCCCAAGTTCAGGGCTCTGAACGTTGAAGACACACTGTTCTGACTTAGGCTTCCCCAGCGGCACGAAGCCGAGTCCTCGTCACGATA